CAGATTTTTAACCGGAATTAATTATTTTTTTAATTGTTTTAAAAGTCTAAAACCTATCCTCCGTGACTGTTACTCTTTCTAGGTTAACCTATATGTTTTTAAATATCTGAGGTAGTAAAAGCATACTAAAAATATCACTTCAATAAGTAAATTATAAACTTCAAAACTAATCGAATCAAATATAAAATATTATTAAAAATTAAAAGAAATAATTTTTATAACCATTTATGTAGGTGTTACAAAAATTGATTCTATCCTCCGTGAATCTGTTTTTGCTTTAAATTTTATGCAACGGATGGCGCCTTAATCATTTTAAATAAGCAAAAATCTCTGTTTACGACATTATAGATGCATTTGATTCCAGAAAGTCAGTTAGAATTTATATGCAGATGAGAGTGTTGCTGTTTTATAATTCAAAAGTTTAAGTTCATTAATTTACTATTTAAAAACCTATCCACCGTGAAGTGAAATATCTCAGTAAGTAGATTTTTTTATAAATATTTTATGTACGTACAATTGTATTTTTTTTAAATATTAAGGCGTTAAAAAATACAATACAACTTATTTCAAATATACAAAGGGATGTTTAAAAAAACATTCGAAATCCTAACCTCCGTGAAGCTATATTATTCAAAATGTATGATTTCTTAAAATTCTTGCATTAGTGCATTCTGAAACAAGCAAAAATAAAAAATAATTTATTATTATTTATTTTTATTATAAATTGATATATCCTTTATAGGCAGTTTTTTAAACAAAAAGCAAGCATTTTTAATAACGTATGCATCAAGTAACTTTCATAAATTATGTGTGTAAAACATGATTTATTATAACTCCTTTTTGTCAGCTGTAAAAAATAAAAAGCTTCCTACATACTCTAAATAATTCAATCCATTTTTCTTTCCTGCATAGGTACAAACAAAAAGCTTTTGATGTTTTATGTAAACTTGTGTTTGATCATTTTTTATTCATCAATAATAACTCTGAAGGTATTATAAAATGTTGTATTCAAATCTATATTAATTAATAACATTTTTTAGTTCATAGAACGTTTCTTGTATGCTTGCATTTCCATGTAAATAAATGCTAAACGTATATCAAGTAGGCAAATAAAACATGAAAAAGATACTACGTTTTAAATTCAATAAGGCAACATTATTGAATAAGTAAACATGCACGTAGTTTCAGAATATGGGTGTATTTGTAGTAATATATGTTTATCTAGGTGCATACATATATTCTTCGTAAGTCGAGACGTTTTTTGCACCCGGTTTTATTAATAGAAATATTCGCGAAATAATGGAAAAATTTATTTCAAACGCCACTCGTCTTCATCCTCATCAGACCCTTGATCTGTTATAAGTGCTTCTCACCATCCTCTCCTGAGTTTCAAGTATGCGTATTAACATAAGTTTTTCATTATCGATTTGGTTTTTAAACTGAAAATAGTTCAATTGAAGTTGGTTTGAAAGAGTTCTACATTACAAGTATGACTTAAAAAGGACTTTTTACACCCAGGTTTATGGCGTTTTAGTCACGGGCTGAAGTTAGCAACAGGTTTTTAGTCACGTGCTGAAGTTAGTTTGTTGTCAAATGTCATACACTGTTTAAAATATCTGTGTTGTAAAGAGTAATCTTAAAATGGTGTCAAAATCCAACACCAGGTGGTGTTAATATAAACATGAATTATGGTTGAAAATGTTTTATACAGCAAACACCAAAAAAAACACAGAAACAGAAAAAAAGGAATAGTTCATTTTACTACATTAATTTAGTTGACCCATAAGTATTTATTTAAATCAACTGTGGGAAGGTTAATATAAACAAAGATTAGTTTGACTGTACTAAATCAGATAGTTATTTTATTTTTTTGGTTAAATTGGTTAAATTAACCCAGAAAACTTTAGTGAAACCAACCCGCTCTATGGTTCAGTTTACTAAATATGTTGTTTGTAAAATAAGAGTTGCTTCAACCTAAAGCACTCTGTTAAAACGATTAAAACAATTTGCCGTGCATTCCTGGTTGCATAGTGTGTACCGATCGCGGCAAAGGCGGTGTGGATCACATGATGTTCTTAAATCTCGCCTTTGTCGACTTACATGAAGATTATATAAGCTCAGGTGTGACACTACAAGTTGTTCGATACTAAAGAGACCTTAAATAGGTGGAAACAGCTGTCAATACTTGAAGTATTTTAAGTTGGTGGAACGCACTAAAAACATTATCTCTAGCGAGTTAAAGGTTCAATTTTCTGGAATAATACCACTGGTAATATAACTAGTAATGCGAAACTTCCTGTTTCATTTTTTCTGTGTAGTATGATTTAATTTGACCAAAATCACATAATATTTAACACTGAAAAGGAGTTCAATTAACACCAGGTAAAATTCCAACGTGAAGTGCCCATAAAACATTCTCATCACTGCTTCTATTACATCATTTAAACGGTTCTTAGTTGGTAGTTAAGGAATACATTTCGATTTATACATACAAATTTGACATTTAGACATATTTGTTTATTGCAGACGTCCAGTGATGGAAACACAACTACAAGCACCTTGTCTTTCATCCCCAAAAAGGAAGATGACGGAAAGTACCTGTCATGCAGAGCTGAGAATAAGATGATGTCTACAGAGGGGCTTGAAGATGGATGGAAATTGGAAATACACTGTAAGTAATACCAGTTAAGGGCATTCATTTTATTATGGTAATTAAACCAATAATATAAATCATCAGGTTGTAAAATTTATAAATGTACCTGCCAAGACAAAAATTTAAATACCTTAAACGTTTTCGCGAAAACATGATGCTTTCTAAGACTATAAAGGCGCAATCGGATTGGTAGGGAATTTAAATTAAAGTTTAAAGTATAAAAGCAAAGCGACGTTACCAGAAACGGGGACACGAAGAGAGGGCAAAGGCTTTACTCCCCGATTTCGTATGTATTTCTAATTTCCGTCTTTGTAAAGCGCTTACAGACTAAATTTTGTCACAGCATTCCGTTTCGTAAAAATAACTCACTAATTCTAGTCTTTCCAAAATTGACTACTACCCTCTTGTTGGAACATTAAATGGTCTTTCAGATAGCAGTCATTTAACCAGTAAGGGATAAACTACATCTTCTAGTATTTCCAAATACGTTTCTCTGTCAGGTTACCATCAAGTTTGAATATGGACAAGGAAAACCCTTGTCCTTCACCAGTAGCAACGATCATGACGATTCTTACTTAAGTTAAAAAAAAAGTACAGTTATCTGAAAAACAGATGTTGAATCAGATTTTCATTATTAGCTATTTCAGTCATAGTTTCGTTGAATGATCGTTTTAGGAATGTTGGTAACCGTAGATAATATAAAGTTGAATCCATCCCCTACTGATTCTGTTTTTCCCTCGAAACTCCGTTTCGCTTTCCTTGGAACACCCTGTATATATTTGTGTATGCATTGCTACATGCAGGGTCGAATATAGCAAGAATTCGTACGCTATAAGGGTTTTAAAGTATAGAAGGAAGGACGTGAGAAAGAGAGCAAAGAAATTATTGAAAACAATGTAACCTGGAGTCACATTGGCTGCTCAATATATATGCATTTGTAGGTGACTTCGCATCTCAACACCATTTACATGAAAATAGTTCTGCATGCGAAATAAAATTTTATGTTGTTTTATATTATGTTACGTTCGGATATTTCGCATCAAAATATTTTATGAGCGTGACATTTTAACAATTTTTTGAAGCTTTTAGTATTTTATTCCATTATTTAATTTTGTGTCTTCTTCTTCTTCTTCTTCTTTACTAACATTTTTAGATCAAACCATCTCAACTGGAACTGTTGCTTTGACTTTTACTAAGCAATAATCAAGGCAGTAAAGTCGTATTTTTTATCACGAATGTGGAAATTATAACCACGTGAGTGATAAAAAAGGACTTTAATGCCGAGGTGCATATTAAATTTTATCCGAAATCATTTAATCATTTAATACTAATAATTAATATCGATGATCAAATCAAATGTCATTTGAATGTAGGAAGTGTCTACGTATACTGTTTGTTGCTGCTGAGGAGCAGTAGACACATCTTAAAATGTATAATGGGTTGCATACAATACTCGTATTAAATCGGCAGTAAAGTTCTACTTTGCGGTATTCGAAGAGATGGCCACTCCCAAACTTCCATCGACAAAAAATAAATTGTCACTGTTAGCAATTATATCATAACACAAAAATTCCAAGTTCAATAACCCTCGTCGACCCACTTTTGCTTCGTTTAATATTTTCTATTTTCAGTGGTATTGCATCGCGCGTCTAAAAGGACTGTGCTTGAAATTTCAGTAAACTATGTCAAAACTGTCAGAAAATTATGTAACTAAATCCATAAGCTGCGAAGTGAAGTGGTGTTAATGGATATTAAAGGAAAATATTCGTAGAAACACTGTTAGCTTCTTATGGTCTTAATAGATTTATGTAGGATATTTTGTTTAATAAAATAATATTATTTTTATCGGCTTTCAAGTCCTTTATATTTATTTATGCAGACTATTATGTAGATAAGATTAGACTTATTAGGCGGCCAAACCTTGTTAAGGACGTTGTTCATTAATGGTGTCTAGTTTAGAATATGCTTATCCTTTAACAGCAACGGAACTGTAAATAATTGTCATTCGTAATTTGCATATCAAAACAATGACCTTAATCACGAAATTAAATGCAATACATATAAAAAAGTGTTATAGCATAATAAAGAAAATAAACTTAACAGCAGCAAGCAAATAATGTAAAACAGACATTGGGAATTAGGCCAGGCTGTTCCGTAACACTTTGGCTAATTGGAGTCGGTGTACTACAGATACTTCCAAGAAAGATATTCAAACAGTTTTAAAAGTAATGTGACAATTACGTTCTCGAGCCAATTTTCCAAAAGACCATAGTTAATATGCAAAGTGAAGTGCCAGAACCTTATGAGTTAAATGTTACGTTACTTACGAGGTTTTTGTTTGTTTCAGATACCCCGGAAGCTAAAATTATTCTTGGGACCTCTTTAAACCCAGATGCAATAAGAGAAGGCACTGATGTTTATTTTGATTGCACGGTTAACGCTCACCCACCAGCATACAAAGTTGAATGGAGACATAATGTAAGTACTGTAATTGATATCATTCATTATCAACAGTCATTGATGTTTAACTTTTATTATCTTAGCAATATATTCGTTAATTTTAAATGAGTCGTTACCATAAATCCACCAGTCTAGACCTTATCCTTCTACCGACTGCGCCATGCTAAAGAATACATTTAGTAGCACAAAAACAGCCATAAAACGGAATTTTAAATCTCATTAAAGAATTAAAAGAGAGCCGTTCTCCTTAATATATATTTTGTTGTTTTTTTTTTCAGGGAAAGCAGCTGAACATCAATGTCGGGCAAGGAATTATTATAAGCAACCAGAGCCTGGTCTTGCAAGGGGTTTCCAGGGCCACAGCCGGAAATTACTCTTGTGTTGGCTACAACACTGAGGGAGACGGCGAGAGTAACGCCTTTTATCTTAATGTTCTCTGTAAGTGCACTGTTTTTAATTAATTCTCCTTTTTAAACATTTCTTCGCTCCCTCTTCTTTTTACTTACCTTACATTTGCCCCAACCACTTTCTTTCGCTGCCGAAAATAAAGTGTCCCGAATCCTGCTTACTAATGAAAAAAAAATCATAAAGGAAAAAATATTTGTTGGGTAATTAAGAATTTGTGCGTCTTAAATGTAATCTTGAGTTTCCGATGGGTCCACCTTTACAGATGATGAAAGTGCTAGAAAGAACAATTCATTACTTACCTGTTTGGCATCAGCGCTGGGAAAGTTACTTCTGGAAAGTATCTAGTTACTATTCTAAGATACTCTAAGGGTCGTTTTCAAAAAACTCCGCTGTCCGTAAGTTTGAATTCCAATAACTTTGTTAAAAATTATCGGATCTTATTGATTTAAAAACCCAGTGAAAGCCTAACAAGACCTTAGTAAACTCTTTCAGAAAATGTTTGTTTAGTTATTTCAGAATAATTTTTTCGGACGTACACATTACCCAGCTGAATTTATTTATTTAATCAGGAAGAAGATTTCAGTTGAAACAGGTGCGGGTAACGCGAATGTAATAATTGTTTGTCCGCTAAGTTACTCAAAAAAATAATAAAAATAAGGTAATAAAAATACTATTTTTCCTGTTTATGTTTATTTTAGGGCACTAAAGCTCATTGAGAGTAATTAATGACTGTAATGTTTTATTATTATTTTTTAAATATGGTTTCACAAAACTTTGTCCACTGCGTTACCGAGTCCATTACGTTACCTTAAGGTAACGCAATGGAATTTATGGTAACGCAATAGAATTTTTCGACAACAAAGTGGATATTTACCGTCGCTTTTATTAAAAGTAGTTTATGATAAACCAATTTAAAATTATTTGTGATTACAACTCATGATATAGATTACATCCAAGGGAAAATTCCACGCAATATACAAGTACTAAAAGACACCAGCTTATAGTCAAAGAAAAAGGTGTCTATAATTTAGAAATCTAACTTGTTATTCTGCAAGTGAGCACCACTATAAGGGATTTTGTTTATGCATTACTCTAAAATCGTACCACCCTATATAGTTTCTTTTTTACGTTTTCTGATAAAGTGATCCTTTGTGTACCTATTTCGTTACTTTTTTTAGTTTTTGTTAAAAAAATCCTTAAAATGATTTTACTATCACCTGTTTATAAATTAGAGTTTAACTCACTAATACAGTGACTAAAAGAAAATATTAATGGTATTGTTTTTTTTTAACAAAGAATCGAAATGGTGTCTTTTAAAAAGTAACTTAACTAACATAAATATTTAAAAAAAGCATAAAATTTTTAATAAAAAATAAAATAAAAAATTGGAGTCAAAAGTTTGTAAACTAAGTACAGGGTGATCCCCTATAATGTCGCCCTCCTTTAACTTTTTTATTTTAAGTGTCCCAAAAAATTTAAAAGTGTGGTTATGTAGGAACTAAAAAATACTTTTTTTCTACGTTTAAAGAAAATTGGAAAATTGATCAGTATACAGGGAAAAACAAAATGTTTATTTTTTTTTCAATGGATCACCCTATATATGAATTTATTTTTCGATTCCTTGTAAAATTCTAAGCATAATTCATATAACATACCATATACCTAAATTCAACCGTTTCTGAAATATTTAAATTATTTTTAAGATAATAAGTTGAAATAGTTTGTCTTTCTCTGTCTGAGTAGGCCATTATTACTTATTTAACAAGACATATTGACATAATATCACTATAATAATTTATTATCAATAAAAATTTTGGTTTACTGATGCTTCTTGATTTCCAACAGTTTAAAAAACCATTTAATGATAACATTTCGAATGCGAATATTTCAAAAACAGTTGAATTTAGGATATGGTTTGTTATATGAATTATGCTCAGAATTTTACAAGGAATCGAAAAATAAATTCATATATAGGGTGATCCATTAAAAAAAAAAAACTTTTTGTTTTACCCTGTATATTGATCAATTTTCCAATTTTCTTTAAACGTAGAAAAAAAGTATTTTTTAGTTCCTACATAACCACACTTTTAAATTTTTTGGGACACTTAAAATAAAAAACTTAAAGGGGGGCGACATTATAGGGGATCACCCTGTACATTTTATTTCAAATTTTTTTATTGAATTAAATTTTGGATTTCAAATTGGTAACACAGTGAAGACATAAAGCTAGCTAAACACATTTTTCTGAAAAAAACGTAAAAAAAATTAAAAAGTGCACTGCCTGTCTTAAATGTAAGTAAACAAAACTCTAAACATTTATAAAAATTTAAGCAAAAAAAAATTTGATCTTCATTTTCCTAAAAGCGGGTGTTTCTTGAAAATGACCCATGAATAAAAACTATAAAATTATGAAAATTCAACAAGTTAGGTTAGGTAATTACTTTTAATCATTCAGAAATTCCCCCAATATTCTCTAAGAAAGTATCTAAGTTACACTGAAAAGTATCTAAGTTACTTGAATGTATCTTAGTTACTTTATCGAGATACTTTTTTAGATACAAGTTACAAGATACTTTTCCAAAGTAACTCCCCAGACAGCAATATGACGTCTTAATTAAGTCTGCATAAGCTCTATTTTATGATTTGGACGTCAAATACAACATCAGAAAGAAGTTTTTAAGAAGTTCCTAAGACTTCGAATGCGCCACCTATTGAACTAATCAAGACTTCTCAAAAAAGAACTATTGAGGAACCCTTTTCTTTGACTTCGCAATTAAGCATTTTAAAGAGTCCTACTGTATAAACCTATAAAAAGACTTCTTTAGAATTTTCCGTTTTGGATATAGAAGTACTACTAGCGTACTGATGAAGAAATTGCATACTGGATCGTTGCTTATTTTGACATGTCAAGTTTATTTTATTAATTTGTTAAATTTATTTTATTAAAATCATTTTAATAATTTGCTCGTATTCGCTTATTTTAGGAATTGCGATTACTTCGTCTCACTTTTGTTTAAATTCAAGCGTGCTCTTCACCGGCACCGATAGACGGCCTGTTTCGCTCTTTTGGAGCTCGTCAGTATCGGGTAGCTGTTTACCTAGGTCTAAGACCGTTTAGTATGGAGCACGCTCTAAATTCTACTTCGCCGCTTCTTATATCAAACACAAGCAGTTACAGCGGTGAGAAGAAAGTAATCGCATTAAAATGTCATAAATGTGACGCCTCCATGTTGACTTCTAAAAGAGTTAATAGTATGATTTCAAGTAAGAAAAAAGAATACTCTGTAAGCTCAAAATAAATTGTTCAAAAAGAGGTCAAGAAAAGTACGTAAAAAAATTGACTTCTTATTTATGAGTTCATTAACAGCTCAGAATTCTGAGCTCATAAAATGGAGCTGTTTAAGACGTCATGTTAGAACTTCTACACGAAGTTGTTTAATTAAAAGACTTCATACTGAAATCTTTCTGAATTGGATGCTGGCTGGGTTAGTTAATGATACTTTCTGTCCAATATAAAAAGTATCTAAGATAAAGTATCTTAGATACTTTAAGTATCTAAGTTACTTTCAAGATACTCCCAGCTCTGGTTGGCATCAAGAAAACTCTTTGGTAACTTGAACATTCTTTTGCAGATACGCCGACGTGCAAACCTAATCAAACTCGCATCTACGGCGTAGCTAAACAAGAACGCGCCCAAATCTCGTGCCAGGTGGACGCCAATCCAGGAGACATCCAATTTCGTTGGACGTTCAACAACTCAGCAGATCTCGTTGACGTGGCGCAGTCGCACATTGCCAGAAGCGGCACTTCCAGCGTGGTGTCCTACACGCCGATGACCGAGATGGATTACGGCACGCTGCTCTGCTACGCCTCCAACAAAATCGGCGCCCAAAGGGTGCCCTGCGTCTTCCACATAATAGCGGCCGGTAAGTGTTTCCAAAGTTAGATTGCGTTACGACGTGTGGTTAATCGAGAAAGGCTTCTGCGGAAGCCACGGGACGTCGAAGTTTGCTGCCCATAAAACGTATTTAAGGAGGGTATAATCATTACGGGGCTTTACGACCTCGTTTAGATGCACCAGATACATTACCTGAGAGCCTCTTAAATTATCCGGCACAAATTAATAAGATACCTAATAGTTTTCGTGTAATAAAATGGTTCTTTTATTTTTATTTGTTTAACTATCCTATCTGTAAGGAGTTTTATTGGTTGTAGTTAATTGCAAATATAATTAATTTTTTTGCATGAAAACGACACACTGAAAGCTAATTTATATTTACAATCCAGCTGTATTTGTTTTAATAAAATAATATGTATTGGAGATAACCTACCTAACATGCAAAAGGAAGTTTAGTTGTAAAGTATAATTATAAAGGCGTGATGACAAAAGACGACAAGCTAAAATAGGTACAATCTAAAATGATGACAATCTAAAATGATGTCAATCTAAAATAATGACAATCTAAGATAATGACAATCTAAAATGATGACAATCTAAAATAATGACAATTTAAAATGATGACAATCTAAAATAATGACAATCTCAAATGATAACAAGTTAAATGTTAAAGAGCTAAAATGATGACAAGCCTAAAAAAGGACAAGCTTAAATAAGGATGTTTAAATAAACACTAGCTAAAATGATGACATTATGAGGACCGGCTAAAATAGGGACAATCTAAAATGAGAACAATTTAAAATATTGATAATGTAAAAAGATAAAGCAAGCTAAAATTAGGACGAGCTAAAATGATGACAATCTAAAATGATAACAAGTTGAAATGAGAAAAATTTAAAATGACAACAAACTAAAAAGGAACAGTCCAAAATAGGGACAATTTTATATATTAACAAGCCAAAATGAGAACAATCCAAAATGATGACAAGCCAAATTAAGTATAAGCTAAAATAATAAAGATGACAAGTCAAAATGTTAAAAAGCTAAAATAAATAGAAGATAAATGATGACAAACTAAATTAAGGACTTGACAAGCTCAAAAAAAAAAGCTAAAATAAGAATAAGCTAAAATAAAGACTAGCTAAAATGATGAAATGAGTATAAGCTAAAATAGGGACAATCTAAAATATTCATAATCTAAAAAGATAAGGCAAATGAGGACGAGCTAAATTGATGACAATATAAAATAATGACAATGAAAAATGATGAAAATCTAAAATAAGGATAAACTATAATAAACACTAGCTAAAATGATGACATTATGAGGACCAGCTAAAATAGGGACAATCTAAAATGAGAACAATTTAAAATATTGATAATCTAAAAAGATAAAGCAAGCTAAAATGATAATAATCTAAAATAATAAAAATCTTATATAAAAACAAGCTAAATGATGACAAACTAAATTAAGGACATGCTAAAATAAAAACAAGCTAAAATGATGACAAGCTTAAAAAAGGACAATCTAAAATAAGGATAAGCTATAATAAAGACTGGCTAAAATGATGACATTATATAATGACAAGCTAAAATAGGGACAATCTAAAATTAGGACATTATAAAATATTGATAATCTAGATAAAGCAAGCTAAAATGAGGATGAGCTAAATTAATGACAATCTAAAATGATATTAATATAAAATAATGACAAGTTGAAATGGGGAAAATTTAAAATGAGGACAAACTAAAATAGGAACAGTCCAAAATAGGGACAATTTTATATATTGACAAGCTCTAATAAGAACAAGCTAAAATGATGACAGACTAAATTAAGGACATACTAAAATAAATACAAGCTAAAATGGTGACAAGCTTTAAGAAGGACAAGCTAAAATAAGGATAAGCTAAAATAAAGACTAGCTAAAATGATAACATTATATAAAGAGGACAAGCTAAAATAATAACAAGATAAAATGATGATAAATTTTTGTCAAGCTTAAATCTGTTTATTGTTTTTAGTTTAGTTTTATTGGTTGTAGTTAATTGCAAAAATAATTAATTTTTCGTATGAAAACGACACAAGAGCTGATTTAAATTTACAATCTAGCTGTATACATGTACTTGTTTTAATAAAATAAATTGTGTTGGAGATAACCTACCTAACATGCAAGAGGAAGTTTAGTTGTAAAATATAATTATAAAGTCGTGATGACAAATGACGACAAGCTAAAATAGGGACAATATAAAATTAGAATAATTTTAATTAATTATAATAATTAATAAGATAAAATGATGACAAGGTAAAATGATGACAAGCTAAAATGAAAACCAGCTAAAATGATGACAATCTAAAATGATTATAAGCTAAAATGAGGAAAATTTAAAATGAGGACAATGCAAAATAGGGACAATTTTTTATATTGACAAGCTAAAATGAGGACAAGCTAAATAAAGGACATGCTTAAATAAATACAAGCTAAAACGATCATAAGCTAAAATAAAAAAAATCTTAAATAGACAATAATTGGCCGTTCAAGTATTACGTAAGCAGATTTACTACAATTATTAACCCCCCCCTCCCCCTTGTCAGCAAAAGTAATCAAAGCTCTTACCCCCCCTCCAATGCTTACGTAAACATTGGTCTTTTTGTTTTCAAGCATAGACAATGTGTGGGTTGCCATATGTGTAAAAAAAAGTAAATAACTACTGCTGACGTAATCACCATCTAGACCCCCCACCCCCCATGTCATCAAAAATAAGCAAAGCAAAGACCCCCCCACCCCCCTATAGTGCTTACGTAATACTTGAACGGCCCCTAAGCCAAAATGTTAATAAGCAAAAATGAGAACAATTTAAATTATGACAAACTAAATTGAAGACATGCTAAAATAAAGACAAGCTAAAATGTAGACAAGCTTAAATAGGGAAAAGCTAAAATGAGCATAACCTAAAATAAAGACCAGCTAAAATGATAACATTATTTAATGAGGACAAGCTAAAATAATAACATGATAAAATGATGACAAGTTAATCTTTTGACAAGCTAAAATCTGTTAGGAGTTTTATTGATTGTAGTAAATTACAAAAATAAATATTGTTTCGTATGAAAACGACACACTTAGAGCTGATTTAAATTCACAATCCAGCTGTGCTTGTTTTAATAAAATAAATTGGAGATAACCTACCTAACATGCAAGAGGAAGTTTAGTTGGAAAGTATAATTATAAAGGCATTAGGACAGTGGCTCCGTTTAAACTGTCGTTTATTTAATAGTGTATCCAGGTAAAAATGCGAGTCGTTAGTCAGAAAAGTTGGGACAAAGTTTCTGGAATCTCGGGTTACACAAGAAAATATCCGAGACACATGCTGAAGTAAGTAAGGAAAAGTCGAGGCGATCATATGCACCCTCGTAAGACTCGTCATTCCCCTGTGATAAACGCGATACCCTAAGGACCCGTTACACAACACCAATTAGCAGACAGATAGAATGCATAAAGTATTTCGAGAGCTCGAGAATGGCAAAAGTCATTTGTGTGAAGTACACAGCAATATTTATGTATTCTCGCCGAACGTTCTACATTGGACCTCATTAGAAGTTTATTTTTATCGCGCGCGCTGAGAAAGTATTGTAATTAAAATTAATGTATTCCTTTGAGTTAGGGCATTCAATTTAATTAAGAAAGGAAACATAAGGGGAAGGGAAAAAGCACAGGTCTACTTAAAAAATTAGAAAAAATGTTAATGGGTATTTACAAGAATATAATAAAAAAGCCCCATTAAGGATTTAAATTGTTTATTTACAATGTTTAGGGATTGTACGGTATTTTTTCTTTTAAGCTAAAATAATCACAACCTTAAGGGATGAAAAACTAAAATGAGGATAAACTAAAATGATGACAAGCTAAAATGAGAACAAGCTAACATGAAGGCAAGATTAAATGATGATAAACTAACATATTAACAAACTAAAATGAGGTTAAGCTAAAATAATAACTTAAATGGCTAAAATTTTAACATCATAATAAGCTTACATGAGGACACCCTAAAATAAGGACAAGCTAAGATAAAGACAAGCCTAAATGATGACAAGCTAAACTGATGATAAGCTCAAATAATGACAAGCCAAAATGATGACAAACTAAAATAAGGACCAGGTTCAATATTAATAAGCTAAAATAATGTCGAGCTAAAATAATGACGAGCTAAAATATTTACAAGCTAAAATAAGCATAATCTAAAATAACAAGCTAAACTAAGTACAAGTTAAAATGAAGACAATGAGGTCAAGCTAAAATGATGTCAAACTAAAATGAGGACAAGCTCAAATGATGACAAGCTGAATTGATAATAATCTAAAATGATGACAAGCTAAAATGAGGACAAGCTAAAATGATAACAAGCTTAAATGATGACAAGCTAAAATTAGGTCAAGCTAAAATAAGGACAAGCTAAACTAAGGATAAGCAAAAAATTATGACAAGCTAAAATGAGATCAAACTAAATTGAGGACAAGCTTAAATGATGACAAGCTGAATTGATAATAATCCAAAGTGATGACAAGCTAAAATTAAGACAAGCTAAAATAAGGTCAAGCTAAAATAAGGATAAGCAAAAAATGATGACAAGCTAAAATGAGGTCAAGCTAAAATGAGGTCAAACTAAAATGAGGACAAGCTAAAATAATGGCAAGCTATAATGAGAACAAGCTAAAATGATGACAAGCTTAAATGAGGATAAGCTCAAATACGGACAAGCTAAAATAAGGATAAGCAAAAATATTGACAAGCTAAAATGTTGCAAAGCTGAATTTATAATAGTCTAAAATGATAACAAGCTAAAATGAGGTCAAGCTAAAATGAGGTCAAACTAAAATGAGGACAAGCTTAAATGATGACAAGCTGAATTGATAATAATCTAAAATGATGACAAGCTAAAATGAAGACAAGCTAAAATGAGGCAAGCTAAAATGAGGTCAAACTAAAATGAGGACAAGCTTTAATGATGACAATCTGAATTGATAATAATCTAAAATAATAACTAGCTAAAAT